AACATCAGAAAGCAAACTGGAGCATATTTTATTAATGTTTTAAGATAAAGGTACATTTTATTCAATAGATATTGCAATTCTTAATTATGAGGTTAGTCAAAACAAGATCATTAGTCGACATCTAACTTTGCAATTAAAACATCTTTCTTAACCTTCACAAAAGCTGTTAATATCAAAGACGCCAATTTCGAAACCATTTTCATCGTTTGAATATTTTTGGAACTTTTCCCAAAGTTCTGTGGGTTGTGGAACGCCTGTTCAATATGAGCCTGTTGAGGCATCACCCATGGGACTAGTCAAATAGTTTTAACGTCGGTTTTACATGGACATACATAGTTCTTTTATTCACACATTGGCAAGGTCATGCTTTACAATGTACAACCTTCAAACAACCAATCCTCTTGTAACCTGAAGGATGTGAAAGCGAACACTCCAGTATCCATGGCAACTGTTCAAAGAAATATACACACTGAATATATCACACTTTTACAGAAAGTTATGTACCCCACCCCGAATCACGGATCACGCTATCCACTTACATGTTGCGTCCATGAGGAATGCAGTCATTGCGCCCTACATGACACCCTGCCTCTCCTTCGACCATTTCCGATGTAATCATATACACATGAGAATGTCCTATGGTAGACCTAGAAAGATACTTTTGTACGAAGTCAATCGATACGTGACTCTAGGTCGATGTTAAACCAAGACGATGCTCCAATTTTGTACCTCAACATGTTCACATTTCGAGATAAATCATCAATGGAAGCCAGGTCATTTTTTTTTTATCTCCTTCTAGAAACTGTAACACGGCATCTTTTGAAAGAATGGCGTACAATAAGATCTACGAGAGATATCTTTTAATTTTATGGGTTCTGCTATTTTGGCCTGTGTCCCAGTTTCTAGCAATTACATTGCATTAAGGACCAAAATTGGGCTTGTCTTCCCAGGCTGGCAATGAAACAGCCACACAGCACTGAAAGTTTTTATCGGCCTCTTCTTCTACTACCAGTATAATTCCCTACATCAGTCAATCTCACTCAATTTGGTTTCTCGATTTTGGAAAAATGGAACGAAAGATCCCAACCTATTGTAACAAGTTGTACATATATTATATTTTCTCGCCGAAGAAAAAGCTAGTTTAAACGTCATCGCCTTGTACATTATTGTTGATGATGTCGCGCATCGATTTCTAACAGTCAAACTTATAATCTTTAATGCGTGTTTCAATGTGTGTGCATGTGTATGCTTGGAATTCATAATCTCAAAAACTGAGAATGGGATTACGATTTGTAAGGGAAATACATGTTCGTTGAGTTTATTTAATGCTTTAAGGGTGACGTCCTGAAGAACAACGTTTATCCAATTTTGCTATCGGTATTTGTATTATACTAATATAATTATAATATCATATTTAGGTCAATAAATATATATAACGTGCTAGTGCAGATGCAACGTAGCATCATATCATAATGTGTGTACAATAAAACCGATGTTATATATATTTGATATTATTAAAGTTTTCCAATGTTATCTTTTTCAGTTGAGTTTAATAATTCAATGTAAATATGTAAACTACAAATATGTCAGACAGGTGGATCGAATCGCTACCTCTCTAGAACACATCGACCGATAAGCAAGTTACCAGTCTGCTGCAATCTAATAGAGGACGTCGCCTATAATAATTCATTATTCATAACGGAATCAGTTTGATGCGTTTTTTTGCAATATGGACCAAAGAATCTAACTTTATTTACATCTGTTGAAATCAATATCAATACTAAAAAGATAGATGTTACTATTGATGTAGACTGAAAGAAGAATCGTTTCTCCGGCATCTGAACCAAACCAGACCACAACAATAACTGTTTCTTTGTGGGAATCGTTAAAATGACTAGTCCATTATGCTGTAACATTTTCCATGGAATATACTTTTTGGATACGAAAACAAATGCCTGATAGAATTTGAGTTTACATAACACATGTCTATTTACGACGGCCAGGCTCTCTTTATAAACCAAATTTGGTTTATAACTGCAGCCATGATGATAGGCCGTTATTCTAATCACACGATCAGTTTTGGCGTTTTTTCAAAACCGGTAGGACACTCACTCTTTTTGAAATTTGCATAGTGTATCATCATTTACATTTTGTTGAATCGAACACTTTTCCTGATATATCAAAGTCCTGTTTCGGTTTATTAAATATTCTGTATGTCCTCCCGTTACGTTATTTGTTAATAAAATGCGTCGGAAATTGTCAGCATGTTGTCGCGACTGGGCTGCCAATTACCGTTATTGGGTTACTAGCCATACTATCGTCCTGAAAGTCAACCTAAGTAGGTTAAAAGGTTTACTGTGAACATACAACTTTCAGATTACCATACCACTCACTCTCCGACTTCACATTCTTCGCCGAACACACGTGTCGATTACCAAGAGGAAGTATACTATGAAGATTAACAGGCAACACCTCGTGTCATCGACAACAGATGTACACGACATGTCGGAGGGAAACGCTAATAAACCCGCTAAGACACTTCCTGACAATGATCAAATTGTACTAAAAAAAATAGAATTGCACACTAAATACGTATAATATGTTCATGAGATTGATCCATGATTTTATCGTAAAAACCAAGAACAATATCAACTGAAGATGAGGTCGATATTGACAGAAACATTGACAGACGATGAAACCCACCGTTCAGGTACTCCAATATGACATACATCATTTAATGCTCATAGGAATCCCCACACAACTACTAAAATGATTAAAAACTGTAAATATCCAACGTTTTTATCGGCATGATAATAGCTTCAATGAATAATTTCTGATAAGAAACCAATCACTTTTGAAAAAATAATACAAATGAAATAAAAAAAACCCCAACAAAAACAGCGTTTCTTAAAGTAAAAAACGGTCAGATTCGGATTCCAACCCTGGAAAACTGATTGCTATGTGATCGCTCCAACCAATTGTTCTAAACCTGATCAGCTATAGATCCGTCGTCCCGTCCGGCTATAGTTATATGCATAACGAAACTAGAGGGAGGTTGCCGTAAACATGACATCACTATAGTGGGATGTTATAGCGTGTAGTGGGACAGGGATCCTTAATAAAAGGTCTTTCCACAACCTGAACAATGGACATCTGTTTCTGTCATGTAAATGTTTTATATTGATGCAACCTAATCTTTAAGTCACACAAAGAAAATCCCATAAACTAATTGGTCATTGGGGAGGCATTTACCGCTTAATTCTTTGGTTACGTCATCTGCTTCATTAAGACACGACCGATCTTGCCCTATCTAATTGATTGCCGGAGGTCACTATAAATAATAAATAGTTTTAGCTGTTCTTGGAATTTCCCTGGACGATGGCCTCCATCGCGAACGTAGTGCTATACCATCAATAAAGCGTGCGACCATTCGCAGTATTGGCATCGTATATGACGTAATATATTAAAAGAATCCAGTGACGTCATGAAAATGCACCAATTAACCTGGCCTTGCAATGTGGCATTAATTCATTATAACGTGGTTGGTGTGCAGAACATGTGCACGCGCTATCTGGCAACTAAGATACAGTCTAATACTGTCTTCGTTCCTCGCGTGGTAGAAATGTGATTCCAGAATCATGTTCGTCACAAAATCAATGGAGTACCATCCTTTTAATCATAGTTAAACTTCTATTAGTTCAAGTTAAATGTGTCAGAGCCCTGTGCAACGAACGGATTAGTCACCCGACATGACAATTTAATGACTGAAACAAGGCCAGTCATTAAGAAACGCTCAGCTATAAACATCTGTTTGCGGCGAAGCTCCAACTCCCGATGAATTTGAATGTCCTTATCTACATATAGAAATTGCCTTTTTGTGTGACATTGTTTTCGGCGTGATCCCTGTAAGTATAGGATGGGTGTCTTTGATTGTGGATTTCTGATGTCATATCATTGTTACGTGATACGTCACAATGTGTGTTATTGCACAAGCTATACATTCAAGTAGTTCAAAGATATACTTCCTGACATTGCAAAATGAAGCTTGAAAATGAATCCTTAAGCGTATTGAGAGGATATTTGATGGTTTCCCGTTAAATACGATATATATTTCACTAGTTTATGGCCGAATGTCAATATTTCGTACTCGTGAAAATATTGCTATGATTTGCCATACGGGTGAAACATAATGGTATTTGACGGGAAAACCATTAAATTTTCAATTTTAAAGTAACACGACGCAAATATCGATGCAATATAACCGCGTGGAAGTTTGTAGCTTGTTTTAAATTTGACACCAGGTTCTAATGACGTCACGCTTGACAACAATGCAGAGCGTCATTGTTAACTAAAACAAAGTCTTTCGTTTGCTGCTGTTATCTGGTAAGATTTCCAAACAAACGTGATATCAATTGTGTATCTATTTAAATACCATACTGTGTGTTGCAAAAGTGTACCAAAGCAACCACTCATTCTGCCGTCGCTTCATCTGAACTTGAAACTGAAAATCGACGCGGTGAATAAAAAGTGCCATTCAGACAGGACAACACTAAAGTTTTATCTTCACATGTGAAGGGATAACTTGTCCTTTATTACTGCAGTGAAGATATCAGTTATTATAAAATCGATAATTAATGTTATAAAATGTCCATTTCTCTCGTCATATGGTCTTCCTTTCATTTAAACTAAATGTTTTCTCTACGATTTTGAGAGACGAATGTCTTTGGTTTATGTGTAAGGAACAGGGCCTGCAGGTCGTCAGTAACCAATTATCAGTGTTTTATTTATATACAATCGTTAATACAAACACTGTATATCAAATATAAATATATAACTATATCGGAAGTACGATGAATGCCTACTTGTGAATTGCTCATTTACGGTCTAAGATATAACAATAGATATGGAGTTTTACAATTTGAGGAAAGGATATGTCAAACGAATACTTCACTGTACACTAAATAGTATATCAAATAAACATAAACTCGTGTAAGTCTTACCTTCACGCTTTTCTTTTGTTAGTGCGTCTGCCTGCAAAATGAATAAAACGAAAACATTAATTTCATAATGTATAATTGATATTAATATCACGTTTTCAGAAGATTTGTTCAATGATAAAAAAATCGATGAATATTAACTTAACTCTAGATGTCCTGTAAAGAAGAAAGAATTTCTTGGAGCGTTAAAATGTCGTACAAACAATTCATCCCGTGACGGTTTTTAATGGACTAATGTATTCTAAACTAAAATAAGCAACAAAGGTGTAACATATATCAACATGATCTATAGATTTTAGTAGAGTTTCTGAATTATAATATAGAATGTTATCGGCTCAGTGCCGGTCCTTGGTGCAGTCGTTTCTACATTTTCAGATACTCTAGCTATTTTCAGATATGTTCTACTTTTGTCCTGCACTTTTGAAACTACAGCTTTACGACCTCCAGTGTGTATGATGAAGTTGCATTATTATTATGATCAAACATGAATGTATGGCGTACTAATTATTTCTACTTATGATTTTTGTTGAATATTTATTCAGTTTAAGTATTTAAATGTTATTATTGTTAGAAAAACTGCCGGAAATTACTAAAGTGCATTGTGCTATTCGCAGTTTTAATGATTTTTTTTTTTTGAATGATGGAGCTACCCGTTATCGAGTTCAATTTAAAAACGCGTTATTAAAACTACTGGTACCAATACAAGCTAAGTTAATAATAGTCCTGCAACATTCATCTTTATTTTGTACCATGAGCACAAAACCAGAATGTGTCTTAGTGAGATATAAATCATAATTACGCTGGTCTGAAATACCATGTTTGTTATTTATATACCCCCGTGAAGTAGTGCAATCCAATGTATGTGTTTAAGAAGGGTATAGGAACCGAGATAGCAATGGTTAAATGGATAAATGATGCATATTAGGATGTGCTCAGAAGTAGATATCACACGTTCGATTCATCATCCATTGACAGAAACCCAATACCAATGTACCAGGCCAGGATTTGCAATCGAGTACTCCACCGAAATGATATATCATTATTCTGGTAACTAGTGATTTGGAATAACAATTTATCAAGGATTTTAAGCAATCTCCACAAGATGCCATGGCGTTTAAACATTTAACTAAATCGATTCTTCCTAGCGAATTGGAAGTATGGATGAGTAGCGAGATTTTGTAAAATACTTTTGTATACGTGTTACAAAATACTTTCTTAAGAAGCCCCGTACCAAATGTTACAAAATACTTTCTTAAGGATCCCCGTACCACATGTTACAAAATACTTTCTTAAGGATCCCCGTACCACATGTTACAAAATATTTTCTTAAGTAGCCCCGTACCACGTGTTACAAAATACTTTCTTAAGAAGCCCCGTACCACATGTTACAAAATATTTTCTTAAGAAGCCCCGTACCACGTGTTACAAAATACTTTCTTCAGAAGCCCCGTACCACTGCCAGAAACTATAACTATACATTGAAAACTGTTTTTGTTTTTATTTCCGGCATGCGTTAAACATTGTTAAAATATTTCTAAAAAGAAAACCATTTAAATGTTATTTCAGAATTCTATTTAAAACGATGAATAGAATAATTCAGTGTGCATCATAATTCACTTTGGATCTGTTGTCATTGAACCCAGCCTTTCAAGAGTTTTTTTACCATCACAAGTAGGCCCGGCTTGGTTCCTGACAATGAATCAATTAATTGTGTTTAAACGCTGTTCAATAAATAAACTCTGTTTAGTTTTACAAATGGGACCCAGAAGATTTTCCCATAGAAATAAAACGACACTTAGGTACAATAAAACCTACTCTAATGAGTATTTACTTAATCCCCGATCCTAGAACAAATAGGACGGGTTAGGCAACACCAGTGCGTTCCAATAGCTATGCACGGGAGACCAATTTACATCTGCCACAAACCTGCCTAGTAGTGCAAGGATATGTGATGCGTATGAGAATGTAGTCCCTCTTTTCACGCAATTGAGTCCCCTCTTGTATGATTACCAGATAATATTCAGCTAAACAAGCTCTGCGAAGAAGCATTATATCATAGTGGACTCATTATTTCTCTGTTCAAATATCGTGCATTTTAATCAATTCTATATATTCTTATTCTAACACATTTCATGCCTTTAAGAAGAATGAAAATACAAAACTTATTGTTTTGAAAATAGAACCTGTTTGAATGGGACAGATTCTGGATTCGACCGAACTTCACTTGGTGTTGATGATACAGCTATGGCATGGATGGTATTCCCCAAAGCCAAAAACTGATAGGTTTGAATCGGGGCCTCGTTGATATTGTAATAAAACTGTATACTATGCCATACCTTCTAAGAATAAGAATCTTAAAGAATTCACTACAGTGTCAATCTAAAAGAGCGAAACGAAACCTCAAAATCCGTTAAAAACGAAAAAGAAGGATCAAACTACATAAAAACAGGCACTAAGAAAACACCAAGACACCAAGACACCAAGAAGTAAGCGGTTCCTGCACCCCATTATAAATTCCAGTGTTCTTTTACAAAATAGGAAGCTCAATTGCCACATTCATTTCATTAAAAAATATTGTGAACCTTGTTTTTTTTTTAATCGATAAATGTTTATATTCATTTGAACAAATTTCATTAAAATTCGCCAATTATTTTCGTGATGTGTAGGTTAAATATAGGATTTAACGTATCATCAATTGTTCACTAGTTAAATGTACACCAGGTCGATTGTATTTTGTTGATTCATTAAAGAGTCGATTGTAGCTTAATAATCACATGTCCTTGCCAAGATAGCGAAGACGCAACTAAATTGATGCTCCTTTTGTCCATACCAAAACACATTGTAATGGGAAAAGAGGATTCTTAATATATTTCCATTTCGTTAAATGTTGAGCGCAACTACATGTAGCACACGCAAAATTGTTTCTGTCCTTTTTTTCAAAAATCTGCTTTTCCACTCATGCGATATTCTACATTTCTACAAACTTGCCAAAAACATTCCTATTAAATATTTAACACATTTAAAATGTCGGTCATTAACCATGATTAAAATGGCTGACTCATACAATTAATGTACGTAACGCATGACGTCTGATGGAACTTTCATAGTAGAAAAAAGATTTAAAGAAATTGAAATATTCCGAAAAGCATAATGAGAAGATGTTTGTGAAAGTGACAAAAATATGAATCAAACTATTTCTCGATTTTAGTTTCAAATCACGAATTAAGGTTTGCACTTCAGGAACATTCATTGCGATGCCACCATACAGAAGCCAATATTTTTAATATGTTCGTTCAGTGACAAATAATAATAACTACACAATTAAAAAAATAATATCAATTGAATTTTTATAGAAACCACAACATTGTTCGTTTTTGTTCACCGCCGAATATAGTGGCTTAGCAGCTTTGTGAAGGACAAATTGTAATCGGATGGTTTAATTTACTAGTCATTGTTTCTTTTATATCTGATGAAATGTCGTCAAAATAGAAAAAAAAGAAACCGAAAACAGTAAATATACAAACAAACAATCAAACAAACAATTGAAACAACAAATCACACAACTAAAATTAAACAAAAAAACAACTAACAGGAAAATAACAATTTAAAAAAAAGATAATACCGAAAAAAATAATTTAGTAAAGTAGTTACGAGAAGAAAACTCCTACCGCAGCGACACGAATTCAAAAGAAAATATATCATGAATCTCTTCTGACTCTAGAGGGGAAGCATGGCACTACGGAATAATAAGTGTTGCAAGCAGCACATATGGTACCCGTCTTTTGATACGTGTCCAATCCAACATAGTGCTAGGCACAGCGAACAAGTCTGCTTTGAAATCAAGTTGAGGAAACTAGTTTTGGTTTTATAGGTTACCGTCCTATCAACAGCTAAGGTCATTCAAGGACATGCCTCTGTGGTTGACATGTATGCGTGCATGTGTGTATGTGTGTTGCAGATTATATGTTTGTGCAATGATGCCGACTTTATGGTGCTACCTTACAGAAATGCCAAAGACACCCAGAATTTGATTCCACCCAGTCACATTACACTGACAACAGGTTTACAAGTTGTTGCCTTTATCCGAAATCCTAAATAGTAATCCAGGAATAACTACACTCATTTTTTAGGACTTCTGTATAGTCAGAACTCATTGCCTTCCTAACTTTTGCGATCGTTCAACACCGAAGTCAAAATTGCAGTAGTGCCACGGAAGGCACTAGAAAACAAAAAGATTGTAAGGAAGCTAATAGAAACACATGTATGGAGATCCAAATGTTGCAATTGGTGCAGCAGATTTATTTTGTTCACTTTGTGTCACCAAGTAAAAAATACAAAAGCAAGTCCCCAATGATAACTAGTATCAATTAATAATTTACAGAACGTCACGTTATGTTTATAATCAACATGCACAGGCCGCCACCTTCATATTTACTCAGGTCAATGTCAATTTGTGAACTTGACAATTTCTGTCGGCAGTCATCGTGATAATGAAAGTCAATAGTAGTGTGATACCTAAACCGGCCAACAAGACACGTACATGTACATATCAAAGTGAACGAATTGGTTAATTTAAGGAGCCCTTGATTCAGATCGTTAAATTTATTTTTCAATAAATGCTTTAAAACGGTAAAAATTGTTGTGTATGTGTCCTGACTATCATTTTGAATCCTTAAACATGTATTTTAGTGATGAATAATACATTTTTGCGTTATTATGTTGCTTATGATGAGTTATTGAAGGTTAAGATAACCATTGCACCAGTTATAGTTGCGGATTTCCATTTGGAGCTGTTTTTCTCGCCTGGAACACTCTCCTGCATAAAAGGAGATTTTTTTCTGTATTAGTGGCAGGAAAACTCTATTGATAATGATAAGAAATAGTTTTAGGTTAAATTTTTCCCGCGATATATAGTTGCGTAAAGGCAAACCGGTATCACCTTTCATGCTAATTCTGCAGCTTTAACGCAAGCGTAAACAGATTGTGTTGTGGTTGTTTATATTGATTGTACACTTTAAGGCAAGGTTAATAATA